TAACAATTAAGCACACTTCTTTTCACAAGTGTAGGGAGTGACAGAAAGAAAGAAAGCCAGAAAGAAAGAAAGAAAGAAAGAAAAAGAAAGAAAGGATCACATGTGAAAGAAGACATCACATTCTGAAGATCTTCCTGACGATCACTGAAAAAAAGTCTAGTCATACCTAATTGAAAGCGTCAGCACGCTAAGTGGGCAACATGCTAATTATATCGCAAATGTACTCTGATGTTCTAGCATCTTCATCATTTTCAAGATCACTGTCTGCGCCATCACTCCCATCATCCCCCTCGCTAAGTGTTTCTCTCTATATCGCTCTGTCTATGATGAGACTCTGGTCAAACTTGCTCTGGAAATCAAGGCTCTTTTGTACAAGATGGTTTGACTGTGTGAGTCTCAGGCACTGGCTGGCACTGAGGGCTAGCAGCCGCAGAAAATGACGGCACATGCCTGAAAAAGAAAACAAAGCCACGGGGATTAAGGGTACCTCGTCTCTCCTCCACAGCCCAGATGACGATTATCCCGCCGTCTCTGACAATAGCGACAGTTAGCATATAGGCTAGCACTTACACATAGCACTCAATTAATGAAGTTCACAAACAGACTGATTAACAAGCACTAAAATGTGCACAAGCTTTAAGACATATTGACATTTTAGCAGTAGACAATTTCAGTTGGCATTGCTGCTAGAATTCTACAAAACAACTTCACCTTCTGAACATAACACTCCTTGGCTTGAGTGTGATTCTTTCAATATTTTTTGACACACTTTTCCACAGACCAAATCCAAAACACAGCAAAAGTCACATAATTACTTTCAAACCCTTACTAACATTTGCTTATTCGGTAGCAATAAAGGCTAACTCATGAACCTCAAAAGTGTCAGCACTCCCTTACAAAAAAGTACTATATGGTGGCAGTACAGTGAGCTGAGGGTACTTTGATATATATCATGGTATTTACATGGTACTATGAGCATAAGGTACTTCAAAGCTCAAAGACATGGTATTAACATGGTAAATTGTTGTTAACTCTGTCTAAATAGTGTTTTACACAAACTAAAGTATACTAAAACAAACCATCCCTTATGAGAAACTTCAAATCTTAAAAGTATATATTTTTTAAAAACTGTATTTGCAGATAATATAATATTAAAGAAACATTACACTTTATAATAATGTCAAATTAAAAGATTTACTTTAAAGTAAATTTTTGTTGATGTTTTAACAAACTTTTATTATGCTTTAAAGAAGTACACTTATTTGATGTGTTGACTAACATACTAAAGCACATGTAAATTACTTGATTTTGATTTTACAATAGTATGTTATTCGATACAGTTAAATTACATATAAAGATGTACATAATTATGAAATCACATAGATGTATGCAAGTCGTACATAAACATGTCAAAAAAGGACTCAACTAATTGCATTTAATAAAAGTATAAATTAATTTCAATATAAAATGCATTCATTTAATTGCAAATAACATGCAATTAAGTACTGTTTTTAAAAGTGTGCTAAACAAGATGACTAAGCTTGAATTAAGCTAAGCAACACTAAGATCATCACAAATAAAAAGTAATTATGTTGTGAATAAGGTTGAAGAAATGGAGAAAGAGAAAAAAACAAAATAAACATGCAGAAAACTAATTTCTACCCCTAGATAAGTAATATTGCAGCTTTTCATCTTTAGGCCACAAAGCTTAGGTCTTAAGCAGATTACACAGCTGAGAAATCAGTAATGTTGATAATGTGTGGGGGCAGGGCCGCATGGCTCTCTGGGTATTAAACACTGAAAACTGCAATCATGGTGCTGGATTAGGAATGAGCTTTAATTTTGTGCTACATTCTGCTGAAAGGGACAGAGAGGCTGGATGGGGATCAGTGACTTGGACAGGGAAAAGTCAGAATGTACACACACACAGGAAACCTGAGAGGAAGAGCGCTGGCCAATTATAAAGAAAAAAGGATGATGCAACTCTCTGGACTCGTATCTGAAAATGCTGTGAGAAAAATCAAGCGAGACTTGTGTGTTAAAATGTGACTTTTGGTGCTGTTTTTTCATGCAAATGACTGGAACATAAGTCTTTGATTTGAAGCTTTTTTTAGTAATTAAAGGGATAGTTCACACACACACACACACACACACACACACACGCCAAAAAAAATTCTGTCATCATTTTTTGAGGAATGTTAAGAAACAGTTTTTTTCAGTGTCAGTGGGTTCTAAAACAGTGTTGGACCCCATTGACATTCTTTGTGTGGATTTTTTCTTCTTCTTGTGTCACAGAAAATAGAAAGTCATACAGGCTTGGAATGAGAAAAGGGTGAGTATGTGACCAAATTTTCAAATTGTCCATTTAAGAAGCTGATACTTAACTGTAACAACCCGAATTTGCATGCTAGTTAATAAAAATGACAACATATAAACTACATTTAACTTTATAATTTAAAGGGGCAGTTCACTGGAAAATTTTTTTTTAATTCTGTACATAACATTTCAAACCTGAATTATTTTCTTTCACACAAAAAACATATTTAAAAAAATGTTTCAATTGTTTTTGTCCACACAGTTAAATCACTGGGGTCCAAAACAACATCAGACCCTATTAACTTGTCATCATTTTTTGAGGAATGTTAAGAAACAGTTTTTTTCAGTGTCAGTGGGTTCTAAAACAGTGTTGGACCCCATTGACATTCTTTGTGTGGATTTTTTCTTCTTCTTGTGTCACAGAAAATAGAAAGTCATACAGGCTTGGAATGAGAAAAGGGTGAGTATGTGACCAAATTTTCAAATTGTCCATTTAAGAAGCTGATACTTAACTGTAACAACCCGAATTTGCATGCTAGTTAATAAAAATGACAACATATAAACTACATTTAACTTTATAATTTAAAGGGGCAGTTCACTGGAAAAAAATTTTTTAATTCTGTACATAACATTTCAAACCTGAATTATTTTCTTTCACACAAAAAACATATTAAAAAAAATGTTTCAATTGTTTTTGTCCACACAGTTAAATCACTGGGGTCCAAAACAACATTAGACCCTATTGACTTTCTTTGTATGGACAAAAATATTTTGGAAAACATTTTGTTTTGTATTACTCAGAAGAAAGTAAATCATACAGGTTTGGAACAACATGAGAGTGAATAAATGATGACAGAATTTTCCTTTTTGGGTGAACTTTCCTTTAAGTAGTGGCCACTTAACTGTAACATCCAGTTTATTTTCTGAAATTGCACGAATTTGCATGCTAGTTAATAAAAACCACAACATATAAACTACATTTAACCTAACAGTCTCTTGTGGCGTCTTCAAGATGGAACAGTGTACTTAACAGATGCAAGGTCATTGTAAAATATGGCTGTTTCCCAATAAATGCTGCAGAAGCTATATTTAGAGCGAAGACAACTAATAAAATATGTTCTGCAGAAATAATGGATGTCTCTGGCCAGCGCTGCTTTGTCCAAAATTAAATGCCAGCTCAGCTTCTATCACAGACGATATGTTCAGAGATATGATGTGCTTCTTTAAACAGTTTAGTGATTTATACAGGATATCCAGGACACTTCTCCCCAAACCAGCTAAACAGTTCCCTCTTTCCCCACCGTGAGAGCAGCACAGCAGGTGGATCTTTTGACTCGCACCCAAGGAAAAGCGCAAGCTGATTTCCATACAGATGCCCCCTTCACTGGAGAGGAAGAACCCCCCATTAAGCACTCAAGCAACCTAGCACAGCTCCGGCAAATATTCCCGTACGTTCCTCTCCCTTAATTCAGTAGCCATCGCAACCCCCCCGCTCTAGACGTTGGAGCACTCAAGGTTGCCAAAACCAATGAAAGGGGGGTGGGTAGGAGGTGTCTTGCATTTGGCATCTGCCATGGCTGGCCATCACTCTGTGCTAAACATCCCAAGGGGAATGGGACAGAGGTGCCCTGTTGCCAGCGATGGGAGGATGAGCAAATCGTACAAAGCCCTTTTAAGAAAGAGTCCAGAAGACCCCCGCCACTTCTCGTTTCCTCTGTGTCACCCATCCCTAAAAACATCTGAAAGAATTCCAACACACACGGATACAAAACATGCCTCTTTTTCTCTCTAAATATAAACATTACTAGAAAGGAACCATTCAAACATGGTATTGGCATTTTTTTAAGCTCTGAACGCCATACTTGCTCCTATGTGAGTCTCTCGACACTTTGTCCCCACTTGATCTGGCACTCTTTGCTAGGGCTGCATGATATTGTAAAAAACTCACATTATATATTGCGATATGAAAAAAAATCACCACATGAATTGAATAGTTTATTTGGGAGAAAAAAAATAATCAATGATTGGGGTGATTTTGTAGTTGAGTAAATCAGCATAGGAAATAAACAGATTACAAGCATAGATAAATATAACAGAACAAAGATACAAATGAAATAAGCAGTGCTTTATATTTTTCAGGATAAGTCTAACAGTGTTTTGTTGTTTGATTAACATTCATAACACAGAAAGCCTCAGGAACATTAAACTGCTGTGAACCAATATACTGTTACACATACATTTTCTTACTCAATTGTTTCCCTTCACCTAAGTCATAAGCATCTTTGTTTACAAGGATACTTGCAGAGCACAGTATTTCAGGCACAAATAGACGCAGAAGTGAGCAGAATTCAGTGTTCGGATTTCCAGCACTGAAAATTGCTTGCAGTAGCTCTGCTACTAAATGCATTTAAAATGGGTATCTCTGTACAGTTGTCGCATCCGGTGTAGACACTGTGTCTGTGTGTGAGCAATGAAAACGATCAGTATAAATATAACGATAGTTATAGTTATAGGTGAGGTACCTTTGGTAATGTATTAGCATAGTCTAATAACATGGGTTAATTAAGTTATAAAGTAATCCAGGTGCTTTAAAATGTGTGCTGTTTAATGACTGGATGGTGGTGCAGTAAACGAGGAGGTTGATGAGGGTTCCCTTCAAAGCATTCTGGAATTAGCAGACTTACCCGGGTAGAAGTCTTTGGATTTGGACAGCTTGATGGTGGCCCCTGTCTCTTTCTGTAGCTGGACAATAGTCTGACCACCCTTGCCAATTATGGAGCCTGCGGCGTAGCTTGGAATCAGCACCTTTAAGAAATATTCACCTTCCTCTGGAAACAGAAAAAGAGAAAAAAAAATGAACTCTGCAATATATTTACAAAGTTTTTTAATATAATCTGACCCATACAGTACAATCATATATAATATAAACAATAAATAATAAATATATACACAACAGATATATATTTAATAATATATAAATTATAAATTATAAAAATTACATTTTCTGTAATCTAACATGTAGAATAATTATTTAAATAAATAAATATTTGCAATAGATTTAAGCATTTTTGTAATCTGATATTTAAAATATGTTGTTGATGTATGCTGATGTTGTTTTTGTTGTTGTAATTATAATTAAATATTTGCAATAGATTTATAAATTTTTCTGTTTTCTGACATTTACGTTTATTTTATGCATTTACACTTACACTTAAATGCATAAAACTATTTTTGTAGGCATACATAAATTACTAAAATAACTACAATTTTAATTATATTTTTAATGGATGCATTTGAGCAGGGAGAGTGAAGGAAAAGCAGCCAAAAAGTGTGCAGGATACATGGGAACTTCTTTAATAATATATACAGTTTAAAAAGCATACCAGGTGGCACCTCATGAAGCTGGTTGAATGCCCTGGTTGAGTGTAATCTAGCAAAGGGTGGCTAATTTAAAGAAGCTAAAATATAAGATAGTTTAGTTTTTTTTTAAAGAAACATTTTTGGCCACTAAATAAGTCACATACTTCAATTTGTGCTACATCACAGGTTTTATGGCTTATTATTATTATGAAATGTAGAATAAAGTAATAAAGATTGAGGAGGTGTGTCCAAACTTTAAATGGTAGCGGATATAAAATCTAGCTGCACAATGCATAGATTCACATCTTAAACATACTTATGAGACTTATGAGAAAACGTAGATATTGTCTAAGAGGCAATCAGAGAAGGCAGCTATAAATAAAAGTCGAGCTGAAATACTAGACCAGCAAAGAACTACAAGACCACTATAATAAGATCAGTGGACTTAACGAGTTGTAATTAACGCTGAACCACAAGTATTAATGCTTAAGTTAAGGAGGGCCGATAACAGTCAAGAGCAGAACAAAAACTCTAGCGTAGGTTAGTGGGACAAGTTATGTAAGCAGGAAAGATATGGGATGAGGGTACATTTTGTTAAACACGTCAATCAAAGTAAGTGCAAGAGAAGGTGAATTTGAAAAGACGTATTATGAGACTCAGTTTCAGTGTAACTGGAAAAGCTAGACATTGTAATGTATAGAAGTAGCAATTAAATAGCAAGGTGCATATAATATAGCGCAAGACATCCTGATTTCACTTCTCTCTTGAGAAAGGTCAGCAAAGGTTTTCCTGAAAGTAGAACAGCAGTGGGGCAGTAAAGTGCCTCATCTATTGCCTCTCTACCTGGCTGCTGCATATCCAGGTCAGCAGAAGCACAGTACATGGTCCCTTCACCGTGACTTTAACATGACATTGTATCCTTCTGCCTGGGCCGCTTGGGTATGCCCTTAATATTCCACCACAATTAATCTGTGTCGGCTCCCAGAAGACGGCCTCTTTAGATTAGATTGTTATTCTGGAGAAGCGGTTTATCTTGTCAAGCTAGGCTAAGCTACATGCACTTGCAGCCTAACACTGATGATTGGCAAAAAATGAAAGAGACTACTGGACAGACTATTAATGTCAGAGTGCAGCTGGAAAAACAAACGGACTAACAATGGCAACGACGACAATGTTTTGGTCGAAGGCCCGACTTAACTGCATCAGTGACAAAGTAATGACACATGTCTGTAGTTATGTGTGAACCAAATTAAGAGAAGTGCTAGTGTTCTGCTAACAAGATGGACGTGACAGATCAGATTGTTTTGAGCAGGAAAACATAGAGAGGGTTAGTATTACTACAGCAGATTTGTTTTAAGGTTCAACTAAAAATAAAAATTCATTATTCACTCACCTTATAGCATTTAAAAACTGGCCTTTTTTGTCTTTTGTGGAGCACAAAAGGAATAAATTTGAATAATGAACTAATCTGTCTTTTTATTTACAATGAATGGGAACTGGAGCTTTCAAGCTTGAAAAATAAGAGCAGTCATGTTTGTGTGGGGAATTGACCAAAATCTAACTCGTAATTTTCTAACAACTGTTCCCTTTCAGTCGGTCACTCTCGACGTCACGTCGGATGACCGACGAATTGGGATCTCTCTAAGCCTCCGTTCCCTCCTTCAGGGAACGAGGGTTACCATACGTAACCGAGACGTTGTCTTCAGTGAGCTAGTAACTGTTGAGAGCATGGGTTCAGTGAGTTGAATTTGTGAGTCTGATTTGTGAATGAATCATTCACACTGGTTTTGTGACATGGATAAGCTGATTCATTGAAAAGATCTGACTTAACAAAATGATTCTTCATGATTCAGCCATAATTTAAACATGCAAATGTCAAACACACATAAACATTTTGCATATTCAATGCATATTGACTTTCTTTTCTTTCTTTCTTCTGTTGAACATAAAATAAGTTATTTTGAAGAATGTAGGTAACCAGTCAGTTTCTGGTACCCATTTGATTTCTATAGTATTTTTTTCATGTCAATGTCAAAGTCAATGAGGACCAACAATATTTATTCTAAAATACATTCAAAATATATTCTAAAATATAAAGATGCACCGATTGCAATTTTCTTGGCCGATTCTGATTACCGATTTTTTTGTGTGACCTGCCGATACTGATTTTTGCCTACAGTATTCCGATTTTCTATCTCAGAACTATAATTGAAAGCATAGCATATACAAACAAAAATCTACTTTTTTCAATGCAAAAAAATTATTTACATAATAAAATAAATTATTAAGAAAACACAGAAGCTGCATCTGAAGTGGCATTAGATGCATTTACACCGCAAAATTGCAAATGCATAATTAATTTTATACGATTAATGTTTTAAATACTTTTTTGCACATACAAATAAGGAATGTTGGGAAAAATGCAATGATACTTTTAAATATGAAACCAAACCACCAGTAGGTGGCGACAAATGTGTCAAGTGGAAACTCTACTGTGTGTTGCTAGGAGACACACAACAGTTCTGCTGTGGCTTTGATTGGAACTGTTTTCATTTGTGAAATCGTGCAAAAACAGTCAATATTGTCTAAAATGTAAGTCACTTAATTTTAACTTCTTGTTTATTGAACTACTATTGTATAAAATAAGTGTAACATTGCAATCATGTTGATATTCGGGGAAACATCTTGGTCGTGTAATGTTGCTAACCTATATTATATATTATAAATATCTTTTTTTTTTCTACCGCAGTATGCATCTATAACTTTCTGTGTGTGCTGTTGCGCTCATTTGTTCTGATTTCTGCATGAGTCTCTCCCTCACTCAGACAGGCTGCGCGAGCCTCATCTGGCACGACATAAATCCATCATCAGTCGCAGTTTACACTGAATGCAATAAAATCACAACCATTCTTAAGCGAAAATTTTTTGGTGGCCAAGTTTCAGTTCTTCCCAAGTTATTTTTGGTATTGACATTTTAATCAGGCTTCTTGTCTGGTCGGGCAAGTAAAATTCTCTCTCACTTGCCTTTAGAAAATCTACTTGTCCCAGACAAGCTTTAATTGAGCCCTGTTGTTTCCCCACGGTTTACTTTGGCCCTACACGTATTACAAATTGCGAACTTTGTGTCTTCTTCACTCACAGTGAAGAACTCATCTACTAAAATATATTTAAAATATATTCTTTTATGTTTAACAGACGAAAATAAAAATTCATACAGGTTTGAAACAACTTGAGAGTGAGTAAATGATGAAGTATTTTTATTTTTTGAGTGAGCTAACAGTAAGGATTGGGATGATTTTAACAACGTTTAAGTCTTCTTGAGGTAATCTCATTAGAATCACAGGCCAGCCCAGTTGATCTGGATGTGTAATGAAGCGTATCTCTAACTAAACAAGTATAGTCTCATATTTAGCCACACTATTTGTACTGGATGCCGCCAGATTATGAATTGCATAAACAACAAGGGAATAATGGAGGTTACTGTGACATAAATAAATGTACTCAGAACTGGGTTCGCAGACACCTCTAAATGACAATTCCTGATTTTTCACTCACATACTAAAAACTGCCATTGTTTTCACACATCATAAACAGGCGGTTCAAACAGTGTCTACAGAACACTGCAGATACATGCTTTTCTGCAATGACCCAGATTTCTCACAGAGCTAAGACTGTCCTCCTTTTGATTTGGATGAGTCTAAATTTAACCTTGATTAATATGGCGCAGGGTTCATAAATAATATGTATCATGCATACATAAGTATTCTCTCTTCAAAAGCATCTAACAAAAGTCTGTCATAAATTGGATCAAGAGGCTGAGTCCAGACTGGCTATAACTGACATTATCTACTCTAATTAATGTAACACATTAGACACATGATATTATATTGAGAGCGTCATATTTTCATAACAATATTAGGCTGTTTTAAAGGTTACACATTTTACTTTGTTTATAATCAGCAGCAAAATATTACAAAGCATTATGGCGGTTATGCAGTAAAAAGAAAGAAACAAACTGAAAGGAAATGAAGGTAGACTCTGGTTTGCCGATAACAAAATCTGTATGTCATTTTTACAGAAAATTAAACAAATTACCGTGAAATCCGACAAAATCTGATGAAAATGGTGGATCATGGATGGCCGGTTGGTTGCATCTCTCTAAAAGAATGTGAATGAGAAAATTAATCTTTGTGGAAATGTCAGATAGAAAAACAAAACAAGGTGAAGTACAGAAAAATGACAGAGTCTACCTTTAAACCTCCTACTCTAATCAAGAACATACCTGTGAATGTTGACGTTATGGATAAAGATACAGGATGAAGTAATAATGAACTTTATAGTATTGAGATTTCGATTTCCAATCATTTTCACTCTTATTTTAAATCAATCATAATACATTCAGTGAATTAAAAGATTATTCCAGGTACGATACAAGTTAAACTCAATTGACAGCACTTGTGGCATAATGTTGATCCCCCCTAAAAAATGTTTTGTACTTATTCTTCATTTTCTTTAAACAAAGCAAATTACAGTGAGGCACTTACAATGGAAATGAATGGTGGCCAATCTGTAAACATTAAAATACTCACCGTTTCAGTAGTTTCAGTCACAAGACATAAACAATATGCATGTTAACATGATTTTAGTGTAACTAAACTTTTTTATAGTTATATCCGGTTTACTACTTAGTTTTCATGAAAACATAACACCTAAAGTCCTAAAATGATCGTAAAAATGACAAGAACAGCTCAAATAATACACAAGAATTAACAGAACAATTATAGCTTTTATAAAATTTGTTTCACCATGACCTTAATATTTGCTTTTCTTTAAAAGAAAATGAGAGACAAGTCCATTTTATTTTTTATTTAAAAAAATTTTTTTTTTTTTTTTTTTTTTTTTTTTTTGGTAATTTTCATTTTTCCACCCACTTAAATGATAAAAAGCACCATAAAAGTATATGAAAGTGGATGATACAATACAACATATTTCAAGTCTTCTGAAGCCATACAGTAGCTTTATGCAAGTACTTGAACTACTTATACCTTGCTATGCAAAATAATGTTCTTTTTAGCAACATCATATGACCCCTTTAACTTGTACTGAACCCAGAATATTCCTTTATAATAAGCCTACAGTAAACCAAAATCAGTTTAGTTTTAAAAGACATTCTCAGTTTCTTCTTTTCTAAAACATGGAGCATCTACTGCCCAAGTTTGAGTTGGATCAAGCCTATTTCCTGTCACTTGTCAATACAAAGCTCTGGCTGAGAAAAATCAGTGGACTACACTACACGCATATCCGTAACAGTGCCTTTGAGGGAAATGAGTCCCTCCCATTGTGCTACACCGGGAACAAAACAAGAACAAGTTGGTATGCTGTTATTCTTCCCTCCAGCCTACTTAATATCTTAATAAGTCTTGTCTTGTGTGAACATCTATATGACTGCACGCATCACACTCTCTGAGAAGTCAGAATAATTCATAAAAAAGCCCAAATGGGCATTACTCATAATAAACCAGTAGGTGTAAACACAAATCATTGGTTGCTAGAGGCTCCCAAGAGAGCCGTGGTTCAGAACAAGCTACATCAGCTTGAGGATTGAAGGTTCCTGTGGGCTTATGTTGGGGGCCTTAAAAAACATGCACAAAGCAATAAAGCTACGAACAATTTTTTTCTTCTTTCTTGTTTGCATTGTAGATTTATACCACATTAGATTTCAGATTCATAATTGGGTTACATAGCATTTGTGCTTAAGTACAACAAACATACATCTAATTTTAGCGGAGTGATGAAAGGACCACTTTCCCTGCACGGCTGTCCAAGCAACTGCCTGACCAAAATGGCTTCCGATATAAACACTGCACTTGGACTAAACATACTACTCAGTTTCTGCTGCACGTGAGAGAAAGCAGCATGCTTTGTTCTAACATGCGCAAAGGCTCGAGGAGAAGCTTTCGCATTGCTTCTTTCATTCATCTCATCCATATTCATCTCAGGTCCCGTCCTCCATTCCACGGCAGACGAGCCGAAAGAGGCGAGCAAATCATCCAATGTGGGGCCGCCTTTTACAACGCCCTCCCAAATCCTCGCCATCCTGCATGAGATTTTTTTTTTCTTTGACGCAGTGCATTAAAGAAAAAAACGAAGGAGCGCCCTCTTCGTGATTGTACGGTGATCAATAGGCAGAGGGTTGCATGGATAATCAATGACTTGCCGCTACTGATGGGAAATGAGAGGGATGAACTCGGGGAGGAAGAAGTAATGATCGCCCCAACCCAGAACCGTGATTAGAGGCGAAATAAACAAACAATGGGGGAGCAGAACGCAGTGCACCCTAAATGTATTTCTGCTGAGCCTATCAAAAACAGCCGTAGAAAAACCTGTGCGCTTAATCTGAAAACCGGTGGGAGTAAATGCATTGTAGGATGTGAGTGAATGAGGTGGGCGACAGCGACGGATCGGTTATTGGTCCCCCGTATAAATGTCTGAGGGGGTGGAGGTGGAGGTGAATCTTCAAACACAGCTTGCAAATCATGTTTATGTAACAAGTCCTTCTAAGACAGATCCCACATCTATTTTCTAATCCTGCGGGCAGAAATGCACAAGCAAAAGAATCTAAAAAAGAGGCTAGTTGCAAATTCAGTGCCAAGCAGCATCCAAAAATGTATTTATATAGTAAAAACAACACAGGATCGTACACACACACACACTTCCATGCTTTCTTACAGCCTTAGAGGGTCACAGTCCCCTCACGCCGTCCAGCTAGGACATCTGTATCCCCTGAAACAACCTTTTGTAAATGGAAGCACTATACTGTGCCAGTCCATCCATTTACAAAATTAAAACATTACATCTTATGAGACAGCTCGGGAACGTGGAGAGAGGCTCTTTGGTGAACTTGAAGTCGAAGCTTTGACGATCAATTGGCAGGAAAATGATTCTTGGTTTTAAGCCAACTGACTTTCATCTTAATGCATATAACTTTTTTTTTTTCAGGCAGCCTTTAAAATGCAATCATTTGTCATCCACATCATAATTAAATCCAATAAATAAAGAGTTAAAACAATACGCAAGTCACACAAAATATGATACTAATCCTACAAGTATGTAAACACCAAATCAAAGACAGTAAATGTTATAAGAAAACAAAATAGACATAATACTGTCGTAGGACTGGATCCTTATTTTCAACTCAAAAGTGGTCCAAAAAAACGACATAAATGGTTCAGATTCACACTAACTTGGCCGATGATCTGCCTGTGTAACGTCTTGGGTTTAAATATAAACCACAAAGCGGAAACTACGGGTACATGGTGACTTTAAACAGATTCAACCAGATTATATTCTTTTTTTTTTTTTAATTCAGCATTTCTATTTTATAATTTTCTAGAGATCCATTTAAGTTAATAAATATGGATGAATTAATATAATTATAGATGCTTAATAATTAGAGCAACAATGTCATATTAATTCATCCTTCTACACTATTGTAATTATATGTGTGATACCATATAAATACTCAATTTTAAACAAATTGGAATAAATTAATTATTTAAATAGAATCAAGGCTCCTACAGCTTTTGGCCAGTGAATTTTCATGATTTTTAAACTACTTAACTGGCTAAGGGTTTCAATTATTTTATAGAGATTGCATGCACAAAGAGCAATTATATAGTTATATCATTCAATACCTAAACATAACAAAAAAAAAAAGTATATTACCAGTTGAAATTTCCATTATCTTTCCATGACATTTCAAGATTTTACAAATTTCTTTGACAGTTTCAGGCCTGGAAATTACAATATTAAAATATCCAGATTCCCTGCCATAACTGTGGAAACCCCATAGAATAATTCCTCTTGGCAAATAAATTCCGGTGAAGCCCAGATCTCTTAAACATTAAAGTCTTTTCATTTGAGCAAATGGATCTGCAGGTTATGCCTCCCACGAGTCCAGCAAGCTTCTTCTGACTGACAATTCATAATGCTTTCTGCATCGATTCTTTCACATATAAACATCCGCCAATCGCTTCATTTATGCGCCATGATTAACCCTTTAACTGTAACTACAAATACTTATTTTACTGAAAAACGCTTTAACGGGTGAAATAAATTGTTCTTGCACTTTTTTTACTGAAAACAAATAGCCTATTGACAGCCGATATATTATCTAGGCTAATATTGCTAATATTAAGATGCTTTATATCTTATTCTCTCCCTTTAATATGCAGTTCAAAAAGACCCAAATAAGATGGCTTTCTGCTTAATGACACTAAAGGTGGGGATTTAACCATCACAGATCAGAAAAACAATGTTTTAAACTGTTAACTTGCTACCAAACTAAGATCTACCAATTGGCTAAAAAAAAACATGTAGGGTTAAGAAATACATGCATATTTTGTTTTTTAACCTATTAATTAGATTAGTTTAGCAGACAAGTGTACAAGTGTACACAAGACTTCTTATGGCATCTGCCGGAATGCATAATTAACAAGCAAGCATGGGTCCAGTTCAAACAATAGACTACAGTAAAGTACTGAAGGCTCTAGAGCACTTCAGAGTGCTGAAATGTCGAATATCAGCGATGCAGGTGAAGCATACAAATGTATACACACATTTCAGGCTTTTACTCTTAATTTTGAGTACCATATTATAGGCCTATTAAATATTTAAGTGCAAGTGGTATAATAAATTCTTACCACTATAGACATCTCATAAAAATATTATAATCGTTTATCATTCAAAACTGGAGTTTTCAGGGCCAAAATTCAAAATAAAAGATTATAGATTCAAGGAACAAGATAATAACGCAAGGTCATCTGCGGTGATAGCAAGGATGCGTAAACGCACGAGCCATGTTTTCTAATGTTTGGGTACGTGCTCATGATATTAGCCTATATTTAGGAATGTACATCCAATTTATCCCATAGCCTACATAATCCTTTGATTTAGGAATACTGAGGATGTGTTTGGTAAACGACTGTTGTAGGTGCGTAAGACCATTCTGGGCCACTTAAAATGGACGCGAACTGTAAATATGAATATGATCCCAGGTGCACATGTCTGGTGAAGCATGACCGCGTTAGATGGCGAGATGCTCCGTGGAAAACGAAAATCAACCTGCCATGAACTATTATACTTTCATGGATTTACATAAAAGCACTTGTCTTTGGGAAGCGTCGCTAATTCATTGCCAAGTGAGTTGCCTATCTAGTAGATAACATTTGTGTCTTACCTCCTGTGTTTGTGCGCTTGGTGCTGCTGGCCTCCGTCGGGGTCTCCAGGGGTCTTTTGCGGGAATCGGGGGGATCAGACTCCATGTGCGGTTGTTGATTGTGATGATGCGGATTGGAGAAAATCCCGTTTTGCTGCACTGCCCCACCGGCCATCATTTTTTATAAAGAAGCTTTAGGCTCGCTCTCGTTCTCCCTAGACGCGATACGCAGATATGGTCGTTTCTAAATGTGAAACCACGATGAATGTTTGGGGTGCGTCGATCCTCCGTAGCAGCCTAGATACGGATTGAAAGGCGCATCGATATCCAGTGGCTCAGGCTGTACCTGATATTAATAACAAGTGATGTGGGAAACGTCCTCACTCGTGGCTCTGCGATGGCGCTCTCCTGCTGAAAACAATATATGACCTCAGTGGTCGGCACAACTCAAAAGATTCACTGCTAAAAACTGGGAAGATGCGCGCGGATAATAAATAGCAACGGGAAACGTACAAGAGGCGAAAGAAAAAACAGCGGATCCCGCATGCAGGTGGACAAACCATGCAGATAGAGCTGGATGGCGTTGAAGCGCTGGATGAGCGCTTGAAGGAGATGCGATGTTTTTGTAGGCTCTGACTCGGAGATGCTGCAGTCTTGCTTTCAGAGCATCTTTGCGCGTTTCTGCTGGAGCTCAAAGCAGCGGGTGACGTCATGTGGAGTCGAGACCGCGGCTGTCAAATGTGAAGAAACAGACACGCCCACCTCGAGCTGTGATTGGTCGAGATTTTATTTTCTCCGGCAAAGTGAAGTATAAATCCTGCTTGTCACATGACAATACAGGAGGAGGTGGCGGTGATGAAAATGCGAGAGCATCCTTGTAAAATAGGAGCAAGGATGTAAAAAAAAATAAAAAATAGTTCTAAATGCGCAGCTCGTCTCTGTCTAATCCACGAGAATTCTACCACAGTAAATTATTGTTGTTGTTATTGTTATTATTAGGCAATAATAATTATAATATTATTATAATGATTGTTATTATTGTTATGTGATTTGTACTTTTATTAATTATTGTTGTGGTTTAATTTTGTCATTTTATTATTATTATTAGTAATAGTAGCATTTATTTATTTCATTTTTATGCAATTTTATTATTACTTAATAATAATAATAATAATAATAAATAAATACAATTATATATCAAATTAGTAATATTAAATATAATATCATACAAAATATTACAAAATAGTAATATCAAAAAAGTAATATTTAATTTATATAATTTTGTATTATTGTTAGTAGTAGTATTGGTATTATTACATTTAACTATTATTATTATTATTATTAATGCAATAATATGAATAAATTAAATTGCAAAAATTAAACAATGATACATTAATGTATTTTTATTATTATCACATTTAACTATTTATTATTATTATTGTGTCATTTGTAATTTTATTATTATTTAATAATAATAACAATACTATAATAATACTACTAAATTACATACAAAATTAAACAATAATATTTATGTAATTCTATTTTTTTTTTAATTATAAGTAGTAGTAGTATAACATTTAACTATTTAATTTATTATTATTATTATTATTATTATTAACACAGTATTTGAACTTGAAAACCATTTTAACTCACTTTTTAAAAATACTTTTAAAATCAAATATAAATTAATGGATGTTAAATAGATGAATGCAAATATGTTGTTAAAGAAAACTTAAACACATTGTTTAACTGTATAGTGTCCTCAGTGCCCAGTAAGACTCTCTGTATCCTCTTGTCACATACACTCACACTCCTCCTGTGTCAACACAGGGCCGGAGGCGAGCACTTCTGTTATTCCAGATTCGCATCAAGGTGATGCTGCGTCGTCTACTGCATGCACACAAAGAGCCACCTCACACAATTTCACATTTCTGTGGAAAAACTCAGCAGTGCGCCAGTGTCATCCGAAATACATAGGCCTATGCTCAGTTTGAGTGGAGCAAACCGACACTGAGACATTTGGCTCCTATTTACTGGGGGAAAATTGAGCAAAATTAGTGACTATAAAACAATTGTTTTCTTTTGAGTCCGGCCATCCATGAAATGCAATCAATGTGAAACAATCAAACTCAGTTGCTTTGTTTATTCTACCAGTCGCATTCTAGAAAAGCTCATTACTCGTGAAATAAAATGGGTGATTATTTTATTTAGATCACAAAAGCTTCAGTAATGTGAGAATTATGATACATGATGCTATTGCTTAAAAATGGAGTGCGCTTCCATGGATCCGCAATCAAATACAGGCCTGATAGGGTGGGATTGGGGAAACAGTCAGACTAGAATTATTTAGCATGTTCACATACAATGTATATTTTTTTTATCCGGTGTTTATCAGTGTTACATTTAACCGTGGATAAAAAATAGCCTCAGAGTATCCTTATATGAAGCTGCATAAACTGAATAAAAGAGAAATATTTAGTTTATTCTACACTCATTCTTGCATCAAAAAATAAAAAAATTTTTCTTTTTTCTTTTTAATATTTCATTTATTATTATATTTAATACTTTTTTATATATAATTTTTTTTCTGTGTAGAATAAGTGTATATTTTTGCCTATGTACACTCATATGCACCATATATATGCACCCAATCTTCATTAGTCCATATTTACATACCATGAAAACTTGTAGCAAAACAAAAATCAGGTTCTGTTTGCCAGCAATGCATTGCACGCAAATGTTAATTTCGGACAGATGGCAGTGGCTAAAGCTCTCCATTCCTGCAATATGGGTTTATGAGCTTTCACATAAACCCGTGCAGTTTTCCCCCCTCTGTCACACTGGTGAAAGGGTGATATCTCGTCGAGGATGACTTTCAATGCATAACACCCTCCCCCACGCTACACACATTGTTTGAAGAGGGGACCCCATCTGCCCCCTTCTCCATAAGAGCACCCGCACTATTGTTTCTGCAACTAACACAGAAAAACCTTAAGAATTGGCCGGACTGGGCAACATCTGGCATTGAATTCCACATTTATTTATGAGCAACAACATGGCACTATGCAGGTTTAAAAGGAGACAAATGTATTTGATAATTCATCTGGCACAAACTGCCTTTTTTGGAATCATTATCAAGTTGTTTTTACAAATAAACAACTACTAATAAACCCAATGAGGAGGCTGAGTTACTCCCTAACCATTGTTAATATCTGCCTTGGCTAGAAAAAAAAAAGAAAGTGAATTATTGTTTGCCAGATTGGGTGAATTTCAAACCATGTCTCTTCATTGTTGGATATTAAATTAAATGCTATTTAAATTCATTTTCATTCTATAACATGGCTTTACAATTCATTCGCATTTCAGTTATCTTGCATACACAGTATTTCGATATGTGAGATGAATCTTTCCCCAGTTCCTAGCATTAAAACATCAGAATAGCAAGGATAAAAAATACCATAAGAAACAAAAGACATAAACAAGAGTCTCCATCTTGTGGGTGAATTATGGAAGCAGTCGAAGAGACTGAGAAGAGCTATTTCTTTGTCTGGTGTTACCTGCCAAAAATTAAGATTACAAAAAAAGACTGCAGAGATGACAAAAACAACAGAAAAACCTTAAGAATTGGCCGGACTGGGCAACATCTGGCATTGAATTCCACATTTATTTATGAGCAACAACATGGCACTATGCAGGTTTAAAAGGAGACAAGGGTATTTGATTATTCATCTGGCAAAAAAGCTTGCTTTTTTGGAATCATTATCAAGTTGTTTTTACAAATAAACAACTACTAATAAACCCAATGAGGATACTGAGTTACTCCCTAACCTTTGTTAAAATCTGCCTCAGAGAGAATAATAAATATGGAATTATTTATTTCCTAGGTGAATTTCAAACCATGTCTCAAACAATATTTGTCTCAAACAATATCAGTCATTGTTGGATATTAAATCAAATGCTATTTAAATTCATTTTCATTCCATAACTTATCTTTACAAATCGTTTGTATTTCAGTTATCATGCATACACAGTTTGATATGTGAGATGGATCTTTCCCCAGTTCGTAGCATTAAACATCAGAACAGCAAGGCCAAAATCCACTATAAGAAACAAAAGACATAAACAAGAGTCTCCATCTTGTGGATGAATTATGGAAGCAGTCGAAGAGACTGAGAAGAGCCTTCTTTATCTTTTATTACCTGCCAAAAATTACAATTGCAAAAAAGCTGCAGAAATGACAAACACAATAACTTTAAATACACATCTAACAATTGATCTTTATATAAATATTTTTATTCAGTCCTCAAAGCTCAGATGCATCAAAGATGCATCAAAGCACATTTTGATGCATCTTTATGAACTACAACACAACTACACTGTTAAAATATAGGCTAGCAGTTATATTGTAACATATCAGAAATCATTAGCAGCATGCGCACTATAAAAAAGTGTTCTTTGAATTAATAATAAAAACTATTAATGGCTAAACGTTGTTGATACTGTAATTTAAAGATAACGTATCCAAAATCCATATGCTTTACAGATCAGGTTTATTGGAAAGGGTGTAAACAAGCATTTTACAATTGTTCAATGAACTATAAACAGTTATTGCACACGCACCCATAGAACCGTCCTTAAGACACTTATGGATTGGTAGGCAATTAAGGTCACAGTTATAACTGCAATGACGGTAACAGTTCTACAGGTAGACGGGAAGGACAGCTGATCATCCTTGCAGTGGTAAACCCAAGGGTGTAACTTTGGTTTGAGAAGTGGGGGGGACACAAAATGGGGGAAAATGTTTTCGATTTGAATCTCATTTCCTGCATGTACATACATTTAGGGACTATGGTGATACAAAATCCAGGAAATAATTAAGTTGATTAATGATCAATTCTGGCAAAAAGAATAGTAGGCTACTAAACTATGTATAAGAAAAAGATGTCTACTTTATTGTTTAATTGAGGCCGATCGCCAAGACTTGAAAGAATCATTTTATCAAGTCGAAAATGTTCACCATTAATGTTTTGAATAATGTTTCAATAATGTGAGACTGAATTTCCACTGTTAAACAAACTTTTATTTCAAACTAACCGCTGTACCTGAAAATATAAAATAAATCACTTGTTGCACAGGACAGAATGTTCTACATCAGTGGTTCCCAGACCCTGAGGCATTTCTGCTTAGGCCTACCCCCTCTCTTCCACTTAGACTGCACCTTTTCCATTAAAGGACAATATTTGCCCCCTAAATTGACTTTCCAATGCATTTTTTATCTTTATAAATAGAATATGCAGAGTAAATACAACCTGAGAGCAGTCCAAAAGTTGGGGTAGATCTCCGATAGATCCTTATCATGCATAAAAGTGATAAGCTCAAGGAGGCTCATAGTCTTTGATGGAAATTAGGTTTGTTGAGTTAAAACTGAATAATTGTTGTATAAGCATAGCAAGCATAATTTCCCATCCCCCCAACACTGTCACTCACCACCAGAAGTCAAGACTAAACCAATTCACCTTGGTGACCACATAATCGTTTTGTATTACCTATTTTTATTAGCCATTTCACACAATTCAGAAAAACAAAAATGTGCAGGAACTATAGGCCTGTATTTATAATATTATGAATGAAATGTGCGTTATTTGGAAGAAAGTCGAGGTGGGACTGACTTTAGCCCACTAATTCCATTAGAGTATTG